TCTAAGTATTATTTTGAGAATTCAGGCCTTTTCTTGGGGCAAGTAAGATGTATCTCACATCAGACTTACCTCACATTTAGCTTTCAGCATTAAGGGGAAGATAAGGTCTACCAAGTCCATTGTGTGAGATTTCCTTTGAAGTATTAGGTATTGATAAATGCAAACCTGAATTATATTTCTGGATAGTTTTTCTTTAATACCTTCCCTCATGAGATGCTAAGGGTCTGTTATTTAAGACTATAACATGAAAATAAGAGCCAAAAATATGTTCTGGTTGTTTTTGGAGGAATGAAGTTTAACTAAGACCCAGTTTATGAAAAATCTGATAGATAAAAAAAGAAACATAACATAAAGAAAGAACATAAAGAACATGAAGCACACTTTTCAATGAAATTCTGAAGGCTGAAGGAATGTGTCAACTAGAAGTGAGATCATACCATAGAATAAATATTGCATTACTGAATATCTGCTTATATATGTGCATCTTATAAATATAATATTGCTGCCATGCAACTATGGAGATGTTTAATAAAAAATCATTTCACCTGGAAGATAACCAAGTATGGAGCTGCTGCAGATAGAGGCTAGGGGGTAAACTGACACAAAGTAAGAGGTTATGAAATTTAAATGAGAGGTAAAAAGAAGGAAACATTCCTTCAGCCATCAGCCTTTGCCATGTTTTCTATTGACACTTTTTTAAAAATTCTTTCCAAAATTAATTTAAATTGATGTTTGATTTCCATATCTAGTGATCAATGCATATAATGTTTACTGGTCATAACCCTTAGAAGAGGATGGGCCAGTAGCAGAATACATTAATTCTGAGAAATATGCCCTAGAAAAATTTTCCAGGGGCACCTGGGTGGCTCAGTCGGTTAAACACTGACTGCCTTTGGCTCAAGTGATGATTCCAGTGTCCTGGGATCAAGCCCCCGGTCCAGCTCCCTGCTCAGTGAGGGGCCTGCTTCTCCCTCTCCCTCTGCCTACTGCTCACTCTACTTCTGCTAACACTCTTTCTTCCAAATAAATAAAATCTTAAAAAATTCTTTTTTCCAATTCTTCTCTGGCCATAACATCACCACTACTGTTGAATATGTCATAAAGAAATCCAATCTGCAAGCCCAGCAACTCTCTTTCGTGACCCCTGCTATATCTATCCTGCTCTATTCCTATCTTGAAGAAAGGGCATGGTTTTCTGTATATCCAAAGGATGAATCTTCGTTCCTCATGATTCTCACCAGGAAACAGCATCTTAAACTCTGTTGGGCTACTTCTTTTACAATGATTCCAATTTAGATTTTTTCAAAAATAGAATGCTTTTATGCTTTTTGATTTGGTGATGCTGCCAGAATTTGTTTCTGTCACTAATCCCAGAAGAAACAAAAGGACAGTGGTACCAATAATTTCTCATTTCTATTTTGGCATATATGCCCAGAGGCACATCACTCTCTCCCTCCTGGAATTGTTTATGACTCTATACTTCCATAAAAACTGGACTTGATATAGGAGAAGATGGCTACTCTTGTAGTCCAAATGTTTGCCTCATATTCTGCTCTATTTTCCATGATGGTTAAGAGCAGGGACATCCATTTTCTTCAGTTGAAAATCCTTTATCTCCAGGGTTTGGGCCATTTACAAGATTCCAATGGGAAAAAAAAAAAAGTACATTTCTCATGCAAATTTCATAATTTTTAACATAGTTGAATATTTTAGTCAATTAAAATATTTCATATGTGTGTGTGTGTGTATGTGTGTGTGTACGTGTGTGTGTGTATGTAGAGAGAGAGAGAGAGAGGAGGAGAGGAAGAGTCTAGTCTATATTTGTCAGGAAATATCTTGTAATAGGTATATATTCAAATTAGCATAGGTAGATAAATAAAAATGACAATTATTGGAAGGATTTAGAGATATTTTTCAGAACCCCAAGACAGAAATGTAGCAAGAATCCATGAGACTCTGGATCCAGGAAAGAGAATGATGAGAACTCAGGCTATAAAACGATAACAGATATTTAAGAAATTATAGCTTTGGACAGTAGAACCCCATTAATACTGCAACACAAATATGTCAGTTCCTAGTGAACTAGAAAATAATACATAACTGAGGTGAGTATGTCACTCAGAATATCACATTAGATGAAAGGATAGAAATAAGACTACCTTTTAAAAAATGAAACAAGGGGAGCCTGGGTGGCTCAGTAGTTTAAAGCCTCTGCCTTCGGCTCAGGTCGTGATCCCAGGGTCCTGGGATCGAGCCCCACATCAGGATCTCTGCTTGGTGGGGAGCCTGCTTCCTCCCCTCTCTCTGCCTGCTTCTCTGCCTACTTGTGATCTCTGTCAAATAAATAAAATCTTTAAAAATAAATAAATAAATAAATAATGAAACAAGATGGGATCTGGAGAGAGACAAACCATAAGAGACTCTTAATCTCACAAAACAAACTGAGGGTTGCTGGGGAGTGGGGGTGGAAAGAGGGTGGTTGGGTTACAGACATTGGGGAGGGCATGTGCTATGGTGAGTGCGGTGAAATGTGTAAGCCTGATGATTCACAGACTTGCTCCCCTAGGGTAAATAATACATTATATGTCAATAAAAATAAAAAGTATCCAAAGAGCAAAAAAAAAGAAAAAAAAGAAATAAGACTACCTTTTAATAATCAAGAATGTTCTCTAACCCTTCCTATTTAAGGATTCCTTGGTATACATATATTAAAGGATTAATAGTTAATGTCCAAACTATCCACACATGCACATACACACCCCTACATATAACTAATTGACTGGGTTATTCATTTTTCTGCTCACTGTTTATGCATCATAAACATAGTCTGCATTTCTTCTGTAGCTTTTGCTTCTGTAAAGTTGAAAGTTACTTGGGTTTTCTTCTTTTAAGTTACTATATAACTTTGATAATGTAGGCTTTCCAAGTAGTACAAGATATGAAAGAGTTATATTATTTTTCTCAAAAAAAAAATGTTTCATGTTTGACATTGTCACATAGGTTTGATCGCTAAGTCACTTACTATTGAACTTTGGTACTTCAGGTTAAGGGAATTTAAGTTATTTCTGTAGAAGAGGTGACAGTCATTCTGTAATGGTTCTTGAAACTTGATGAAACCACCTAACTGACAAAAACGAGGTCCAAGTGAAGCGAACCTTTTTGATAACTGAGGGAAAGGAGGATGGCTAAGTAGATAAAGCATTATTAATACAGTTCTAAGTTAGGGATCAATTTCACAAGAGATGGCAGAAATCCAAAACCACTACTCTATGGGTTTACAGAGTAAAGTTTTCTAAAGTATCTTCATGAAGTACACAAAAAGTTTGCCCCGGGGAGGAGAAGGCATTAACCGAACGCCCATAAACATTCAAAACTTATATGCAAGTTTTGTAGATATTTGCATTATTTTTATACAAAGTGTGGCCTCATTGAGAAGTGATAGTCCAGAGTTCATAGGGAAGTAATTGTAAAGAAACATTATTCAAATTCCCTTGGCCTTTGTCAAGCGATGAAGTGAAAAGATGAAAAGTTTCCATTTCAAGCTTTTCCTTGTTAAATGATTTAAATGCACTTGTGCCTTCAGCCTAATCTGGGGCCTAACACATGATAAAAACAAAATTGCCTGTGGAAATAAATTATAACAGGTCACAAATAAAAAATATTTTTAGGAGAAAATATGTGGGCGGGGTATCCGAAGGGTAACTCCTAGTTTTCTTATTAGATGAAAGTATTAGAAAATCTAATCAAGTAATAAGAAATCTAATCACAGTGCTAAATCTGTTCAAGAATCAGTTTTATGGTTTTCAAAAAGTTGTATACTAAATTTTTACATTTCCTGTTATTGCATGCAAATGAAAATAGTTGCTACTGTAATTACATTTGTAATTCCTATAGTTGGCAATAATAAAGATGTTCCATGGTGTATATAGAGTGTAAAAGAACATGGAATGGTGCAGTTCAGCCCTGGGATAAAGGAAGTAAAGGAAGTTAAATAAAAAATATGCCTGGGCATCAGAAACAAATTTTTCGTAGAGAAAAAAAAAGGTCAAGATGTGGTTTTTATTGATAACAATATTAAGCATCACATAATATATTTGGATATCTAATCATATATTTAAATAAAAGGATCCTTAAGACAATTTTAACATAAATCATATCTGAAACATTTCTCTTGAATGTTCCTTGAAATGTCTGTTTGAGCATGTCACGTGCCTTTCAGAGTAAGGCTGTTTTGTTTTGATTGAAGCACACGTCACACAATTTTAGTTTCAGGTGCACAACATAATAATTTAACACAGAGTAGGGCATTTTTATCTTTGACTAGGTTTAACTTCTAGAAGATCTTCTTATATTCAGGACTGCACAAATACTGATATCTTTTCAACTTCAGATATATGCAAAACCAGAAAAAAATGGGAAGATGAAAATTAGTATCAACTGCTGATTTGAAATTCAAGCTCAGTTCTGGAGATATGAATGAATAAATATTAAAAGCTGATAAAGAGGGACACCTGGGTGGCTCAGTCAGTTAAAGCATCTGCCTTCAGCTCAGGTCATGATCCCAGTGTCCTGGGATCAAGCTGGGCATTGGGCTGCATGCTCAGTGGGAAGCCTGCTTCTCCCTCTCCCTCTGCCTGCTGATCCCCTTAATTGAGCACTTGCTCACACTGGCCCTCTCTCTCACATCTCTCTGTCAAATAAAGTCTTAAAAAAAAAAAAAAAAAAACAACTGATAAAGAACTGAAAATCTAGATAAAGAGAGGGGCCTAAGATTGAGGAAAAGTAGCAACCTTTGGTAGCAGTCATTCACCACCATGGTCCAAAAATAAGCTATGAGATAGTTTTTTCTTTAACAGATTGCCATAGAAAGATTATTGCCATCCGCTGTTCTTTTTAGGCAGAAAAAAGATACAAAAGTATCATCATGTTGGTACCAGAGTTGTGACATACAAGTAGCTATCAATGTAGGATGATTATTCTTCCCTGACCTTTATTCAAGGATTACAGCCAAACAAGGAGAACAGCTTTAATGGGAGAGTTTCCCTAAATCACCTAATGGGTGTGAAGCAAAAGAGGATGATCAAGATAATGACTACGTGAACAGACTCCCACCCATCAGAAGCCCTACTGTGAATTGCATGTAGGTGAAGTGTATTAAGAATTTTAAAGCACTGCATTTCTGATTTATCAATTTTTTAAATTTTTGTTCATGTCATTGTTTTGTTCTTTTCTTTAGAATTTTAATAGACTTTTTGTATAACTAGATAACACTAGTTATCCCATCATTGTTACATTGTCTATATCTACTACTACTAAGGACATTATATTCTAGTATAGAATTTTTTTTGTTTAAATTTTTTTCTCTAATAGTTCCCTATTAATTTCATATTGTTGTCTTAGCTTCTCATTAATCATTGTTTGTAAAAAAGTAAAAAAAGAAAAAGCTTTATACCAATTGATTTACCAGGTAAAGTAACTTCCTCTGAGGAAGAGAAATTCTCTTTGTCTCAGGTTAAGTACCTTAACAGAATAATGGGATAGTGGAGCATGAAAGATGAGACCTTCTAAGCATAACCCAGATAGAAGGTGTTTACTTTACAAAAAGTCAATTTCTCTACATAAGAAACAAACAGGGAATATTTTTTTTTATATTTCCTTTATTTTCTCTTTCTTTCCTTCCTTCCTTTCTTTATTTCCTTCTTTTTGGGGGGCGTTGGGGAGAGGAAAGCTGACAGTTGGTGCTGGAGAAAGTTATCCTAAGAAGCAAGGGTAAGACAGCAATAAAGGGCATAAGAAAGCTAAGGAGAGAGGAACTTGGGTGGCTCAGAGTCGTTGGGTGTTCAGCTCTTGATCTCAGCTCAGGTCTCAACCTCATGGTCATGAGTTTGGGGCCACATGCTGGGTGTGGAGCCTACTGAAAAAAAAAATAAAAAGAAGAGAAGAAGGGAAGAGAAAAGAAGAGAAAAAGAGAAGTAAAGAGAAAAGACAGAAGGGAAGGGAAGAGAGAGCCAAGGAGAAATTTTTTTTTATGTGGGCATCTAATTTTAGGATAGTGATATTTAATATGTAAGTTTTTTCTTGCCTCATCTATTATTATCATCTACTGCCCTATACATGCAAAGAAAAACATCTGCACCACAAGTTTGGTTTAATGGTATTTATGGAGAATAAATGATATATTACTTGGGAAATGGTAATAATGAAGAAGACAGAGAAGGAATTTCAAAGGAGTATTTAAGGTGGGCAGCCCTTGTGAAACCAGCTTATAAGTGAAACAACCATTAATATATATCTCCTATTACTATCAAATCCTCCTGAAATTCAGAGTTATATTAGGTAATTATAATGTCTCAAAGATGATTTGATTATAGCTAAAGTGTTCTTATTTAGAAATAAAGGGCATCCACGGAATGCTGAAGGATTAGAATCATCTGAAATATATTTCATAAATGAGCTCTTTAATTTTCAAGGAAATAGAGTTATTTGTTGCCTCTAATTTACTTTAATAAATGAATTGATCTGGAAAAAAAAAAGAAGTATGGTCATCAACTGTATTCAGTATGTTCTGCTTATGTCTTCAGAAACTTTTCTTTCATGTCATTCCCTCCTATATGTACCTACAATATGCCCCTCCCCATTCAAGGTTTTACTCTCCATGGTTTTAGTTACTGGTGGTCAGCCATAGTCCAGAAGCAAATGATCCTCCTTCTGACTTATTGTTAGAAGGTCAGTAGTAGCCTAATGCTATGTCACAATGCCTACATCATTCACCTCACTTCATCCCACCATGTAGGCAGTTTTTCATTTCATAACATCACAAGAAGGGTGAGTATAGTACAGTAAGATATTTGGGGAGAGAGAGACCACATCCACATAACTTTTATTATAGTACACTATTATAAGTATTATATTTTATTATTAGTATTGCTGCTAATACCTTACTGTGCCTGATTTATAAATTAAGATTTATCATAGGGATATACTTGTAGGAAAAACCACAGTATATATAAGATTCAGTACTATCTGTAGTTTCAGGTATCCACTGGAGTCTTGGAATGTATCCCCACAGATAAGGGGGGAATACTATACTTGAATGTAAGTAAGTATATTCAAAACATATATTTTCTTAAACTTAGTATAACTGGATATCAATTGGACAGCCTTTAACCTTTTGTAGTTATAGTTAATAAGTTTTTTTTTAGAATTTATATAGGAGAGGTGTGCTTGTTTTTTAGATATTCCATAATAAATTATCACAGACTGGATGGCCTAAAGAACAAATTTATTTTCTCATAATTTTGGAAGATAGAAGTCTAAGATTGAGATGTCTGCAGAGCTGATTTCTTCTGAGACATCTGTCCTTGGCTTCTAGATAACATTTCCCTCTTCATCTGTTTCTCCTCTGTGTGTCTGTGTCCTAATCTCTTCTTATAGGGATATCAGTCATACTGGATTGGGGCCCAATTTAATGACCTCAGTTAACCAAAATCACCTATTCAATGTCCTTATCTCCAAATACAGAAACATTCTGAGATACTGGGAGTTAGGATTTTAACATTTGGATTTGGGGGAACACAATTCTGCCCATGAGAGGAGGTATATGAAATTAGTTTATTTCATAGATTTAATCACTCAGAATACTAAAGTTTTAAGTGTGGAACTCACAGCTTAAGTAGAAGAATAAAGGAATTTTTAGCATCTGATGCGACTCTGGTCTGATTATATTCTAGGACTATCATGAAGACACATTGAAAATTCTAACACCCTGGAGAAGTATAAAATCCCATTCAGTTGCTAATCTTCCTGTCATGGAAGTTGCTTGCCAGCTCTAATTTCGAGTGAACACATTAAACACAATGGTGAAAATGTCAATTAAAAATCTACTCTCCATACCATGTGTGTCTCTTTCCGTGTATGTTCTGACCTAACTCACATCCCACCTATACATAGCTGTTTGTGGATCCTGTTTTTTCAAACTGTTACAGTCTTAGTTAAAATCATCTATTTTTTTCTACTATCCTACCTTGACCTTGACTTCAGCTCTTGCCCCTCAAAGATTGGAATATGGAGGAATGGTTCTCTCCTTCACCATATAATCTTCTGTCAGGAATTTCAGGATTTCCTCAACATTTGCAGTTATGTGTTTGACATTATTCTCTAATTTCCACACTGACTGACTTTTTTCATTTTATATTATATTTTGTAATTGGGTTTGGTTCTTATATGGATTGGAAAACTAACACAACACTAGGCTATTATTCCCCAGATTTCCTCCTTTACAAGGCTGATGTCTACCTGGATGTTCTAAAGATCCCCAAAATGCAACATTTTCGTTCCTAATCCCTAGTTTTCCCCATTTATAACACAGTTCTCCTTGACAGATTGAAATTTAGCAAATAAGCTTTGTAAACATGCAGTTGTTTTGAGTAAACTCAAAACCATCATCAGGGAAAAAAATTCCTGTCAATAAATTTAAAATCTATGTCAATCAATACCAGTCCACATCATTTCCCTTTAATGGACTGCTTTTCAATTTCAAACATTTTTTTTTCAATTTAAATGTAAAGGATTTATAATTGGGTATTAACTTATTTTCAATATTACTCCCACTCTTTTCCCACTTTTCTCCTTTAATCTAACAATATATATCAACATTCCTTTTTTTCCCAAAATATTTTTTATTCTTCCCCTTTCTGGTTTTTAAAATCATACTGTTTACTTGATCTGGAATATCATTTTCTTTCATTGTATCTATTAAACATATTTATATCTCCCAATGTCCCTATTAAGACAGGTAGCCTCGTGGCAAGTTTCTAGTCCATCTTCTATAATCTGAGGCTAAGGCCCCAGTGGGGATCTACTAGAGAAATGTTGAGCTCTCCTTATCTTCATGAGAAATTAGCATTAACTATGGACAGCATTATAATTCTTCCAAAAGAATCATATTTGAAGTCTTTGTCAATTCCTCTAATCAGGGCTGGCTCCATTGATCAGTGAAGTTGCACAGCACCCAAACTTAAGAGGCCCTGCACCTCGGTTTCATGTTCTGTTGTCATCATTTTAAAGTTATTTTTGAATTTATGTTTTATAAATGGAGCTGACAGCTGACATAAATGGACTCAGATTTAAGTGAGTTGAGAGCACTGCAGCCTCTGGGGCTAGACAAGGTTGCAGCCTCCCTGACTCTGGCAGGCAGCTCAGTGGTGGCTTCCAAAGAGACTTGGTGGGGAACTCTCACCTACTCCACAAGCAGATGCTGAGTGCATCCCAGCATGGAAGCAGCAATCCCCTGAAGCTCTCTATGGGCCTGGCCAGGGTGCTTTGGAGAAAAAGAAACTGATTTCCTGCCCGAAACAACTCCTTGCATTTTCATTTTGTACCGGGCCCCCTAAGCTATTCAGCCAACCATGCCTCAAGTGAATCATCCAGCAAAGAATCACTCTACCTACTGTTCTAAAATAATAGAAGAAAAAAAGGAAAAAATAAATAGGATCTCCTCTTCTCTCAGCTACTCACCCAATTCAACATTTAAAATTAAATAAGAACAGGGGCAAAAGGCACTCCATAGCCACTGTTTGTATTATTTTTTTCTCTTGAATGGTTTCAATGAATAGTATTATTCTGTTAAATTGAATTAATACAGTTCTGAAGGTAAGATCTGTACATATCTGAATAATTAGAAATCGCATATAAGTGTAATCTGACTAAAAGAAAAAGGTTCTCTATATAAAAGTTGAGAAGAGACATTTCAACATGGTGTGGTACACAGAATGTGCGTCCAGATTCTGGACCTGCCATTTTCTAGATATGTATTCTTCCAACATTCTTTAGTTTCCAAATATTGTATGTTTGGGTTTTTTTAATTTGTTTAAAACTAAAAATATACCGGAAATAAAATAGATGCCCAATAATTTTACTTTCTTACTCTAGAACAATGATCTTCTATTATTAGGAAAGCACATTGACCTGTTAATTAGCTCCTAAAATATATTGCCTTGGGCATTGCCTAGAAATAAAAACATTGACACAAAAGAGCAAAATTAATGTTTCATAATTAAGTGAGAAATTGGGAATTTCCAGGAAGATCTGAGAAAAGGGTAGATAGGGCCTTTCAGAGGGAGAAAAAAAGCAGATGACGTAACTAGCACATCGTAACTGTTGATGGTTAGTGAGAATTAATGAAAGACTTTTTAAGAATATGGATAAAGTCTTTTTTATATAGTAATGATATTCAGAAAATATCTCCTAGTACTCAGTAAAAGTCACAACTACATGCAGACTTGAGCAGTAATTTTGTGAAGAGGGACTAAGTAAAGAGGTATCTACCGAAGTAGTGTACTACAGTGCAGACAAATAATAGATAACCCATGAACCTGGCGTGGTCCAACGACTGTGTTAGTTCACCAGGACTAAGAATTCAACCCAAATATGTGAGCTTCCTATACCACCTTTGTTGGAGAGAATGGGATAATAATGAACTATCAGCAAAAATAAGGGCAAACACTTAGATATGATTAAATATGTTATGGACACTATCATATACAACATAAAAACTATTCTGAGACAAATACTATTAACATACCGTTAGGAACCTAAGGCACAGAGAGGTGATTTGCACACAAGTAGAATAGCCAGGATTTGAACTATGATTCTTCATCTCCAGAACTTATGTCCTTAACCTCTTTATCACATTACCTCTCTATATTGATTTTTTAGTTTCCTAATATAGGTAAGTGTAATTTCAGTTTTTCCCCAGATAATATCTGATTTATACTAATGTGGATCTTCTTCTCTTTTTCTCAGTCACACGGAGAAATGGGTAGCCAGAAATGCAAAACCATTATATGCAAAACTTTTTTTTCTACCACAATAGTTTAGGAGTCATTCTTTTTTTTTTTTTTTTTCTCAATTGCTTGGAATACTGTAGTCATATTTCTGATGGCCCAGCAGAAATAAGAAGGTAGATTTTTGAAAAAGCTTACAGTATACTTACTTTATGCTTCAGTCTGCATTTTTGTATCTTTTCAAGTAATATGTTAAATGATGGTATTTGTTCAGGGCTGGTCAATATAATATTTTTCAATTAATTATTTTAACTTCTATACCATTTTTCATAGTATGTTGTATAAAAATAGGTAAAAGTATTTTAGATTAAACTTTGCAATTACTATTGCTTTACTGAGATTGTACCGAGGACTCCACAGCATACCATTTGGCAGGTGGTATTTATTTGATAGATGACAATACAGAAAGCAGAAAAACAAAACAAACCCCCCCCCAAAAAAAAACAAGGGCAGAGACAGACATGGCAAAGTTGTGTGTATTTCACCTATGAATTTTAGTTTTCAGTGACTCAGTTAAAATAATACAAGGCTATTATCACTGCTGAAATTCTTTTTTAGTATGTTTGTTCAGAAATTCATTTTTTTTATCTTGGAACTAATGAGTCATTGTTTCTAGCCCAGAGATACAATACCAGGATCACACAAGGCATAAGAAACTGCACAGAATTGTAAATTACTTTTATATCTTTCACTAAATAAAAAACATATATTTTCATACTGGCATAATTAAAAAATACTAAAACTTATTAAACACTTATTAAGAGTTAGGAAATATGCTCCTTAACAGTGCATTCTATTTATCTGTTTAATTGCCTTAATATATTTTCTTGATCCACCCTAAAAATACACTCCATCATTCTGTTCTTTATTTTTTCTGCTCTGACTTCATTAATATAATCATATACTTTTTCTTTGATTTTGTTTTCATAAAAATAAATGATAGTTGATTAATCACCCCTTTCTCTCTACTTCTCAGGAGTCAGTCTGCCTCAGCACTCAACCAAGATTCCTCTTCTAGACTAAATTCAGTAAGAGTAACTCTGCTTCTCTTTGGAGAGGTGTATCAGGAGCCTAAAACTTCAACTGAGGTGTGCACTGCTGAAACGTATTCAAATAGCCTAGGGATCTCACTGGTGGATTTAGATAAATTGTTAGTAACCTTGGCAGTATGAGATCTTGATATTCTGTTGTACATATTTCTATTTACCTTTTATTGCAGGACATGATGAAGCTGAATACAATCCTCCTTATGCAATGTTGAACAAAATAACATGTCCTTATTTTAAAGCTGCTGTTTCAATAAGAACGACAAAGTAATTATGTCTGAGCTTCTAGCTTTAACTTAGTGCTCCTAGGTAGGCAATACTGGATAGACTGCCCCTGCTTCCATTTGGTATTAGAAATGAGAAAGAGCATAGTAAAAATTTAACCTTAGATGCATGTGGTTGTCCCCAGGCATAAGAATCAGGGTCATACATGGTCTAACATGAATTCTAGGTTCACAAATTATGTATGAGACCCAAACATAAGTTTTCCTATGAAAAAGTGTTAGAGGGGTGCCTGGGTGGCTCAGTGGGTTAAAGCCTCTGACTTCAGCTCAGGTCATGATCCCAGAGTCCTGGGATCAAGCCCTGCATCAGGCTCTCTGCTCAGCAGGGAGCCTGCTTCCCCCTCTCTCTCTCTTCCCGCCTCTCTGCCTACTTGTGATCTCTGTCTGTCAAATAAATAAATAAAATCTTTTTTAAAAAGATGTTAGACTTTATTTAAACACAAATAAAATGTAATATGGCTCTCTCTTATCCTTGTGAAAATATGCCAATTTCTTAAGTCGAATTAGTTTAAAAAAAATTCACGAAATTACTGCAAACCCAAAAAGGAAAAAGAAAACAACTTAAAAGGCCTGAGATTAAAGCACTGCCCCTGGAAACCAAGTTTGCAAATAAATCAACAGGACACTAGAATGGATTCTGTCTTAATGTCAGAATGAAAACAAAAAGGAACATAGAAGATACATAAGTTAGAAGTGGAGAGAGGTTTCCTTAAGACAA